AGTTGGGCAATACAGATCTTTTTCTTCTTTTCTTTGTCAGCATAGGGTATAATACCCTTACCTGTGGGTGCTCTGCCCAAAGGAATGTAAATTTTGATCCCTGAAACTTTTTTTTTCTTGTTTGTTTGTTTGTTTTTAGGCAATTGGGGTTAAGTGACTTGCCCAGGGTCACACAGCTAGTAAGTGTCAAGTGTTTGGTCCCAGGCCAGATTTGAACTCAGCTCCTCCTGACTTCGGGGCTGGTGCTCTATCCACTGTGCCACCTAGCTGCCCCGAAATTTTTTTTTTCTTAAGGACCAGCCTTAAATCCAAATCACTCTGGCTCTCATTGATTCACCAACAATTGGTCCCAGGCCAAGCTCCACTTGGTCATTGTTTGGGTCCTGATTGGCTCAGAGTGACAGAAAGCAGCAATTGTTTCTGTTTTGGGCCAGAAACCCTGAGGGTCTTCCCCTCCCAGGTTGATTTTTTTTTTTTTTTGACTAGGTAAAGAGGCCATTCTCTGCCTCATTTGTTACCCAGCCTTAATCACTGACTGGGTGTTGCTTCAGTCAAACTGAGACCTGTTAAAGACCTTCCCTTAAAAAGGCCAAGGAGCCTCACTGCATCCTGGGTCAACTCCAGTCATCCTGATCTATTTCTGACCACTGGACCCAGATGGCTCTGGAGGAGGAAGTGAGGCTGGTGACTTTGCACAGACCTGCCTCACTTAAATCCAATTCACTTGCACGTCAGGGCATCACCTCCCTGATGTCTTGGTCCTCTTTGGAACGAAGGACAAACAACAATATAGGATGGGAAGACGTGAGCCAGTTTCCTCACAGCTGGCATGTCCCATAGAGGCATAGGCTGCTTCGAGGGGGAGGGAAGGGGGCCACTGTGTGCTCACTTGCGGGTTGTGGGGCGGCAGCTGCCCTAGTAGGTCATAGAAGTTGTGGTTTTCTGAGTCCTGGGTTCTATTGGGATGACACACCACCTCTCGTTCAGGGAAGAGGTCAAAGCTGGCTACTGTAGGTGCTTTCTCATGCCCTGGAAGTCTGAGGGCACCTGTCCCAAGCTTCTTGGTCTCCCCACAGGTGTAACTCGCTTAGCCACCACAACAGAAATGCCCAAAGGCTTCTTGACTGAAAGTTTTCACTTACCTCTGTGTCCCGGGGAAGCAGTATCTTCTCCAAAGTTCATACAGTGTTTGGGGAGGGGGACATCATATTCTCATATTGTATCTTGAATAAGTCCCCTTAGCATTCTAAGCTTGACTGGGGAAGGGATCATGCTAGCATCCATGCCTATAGAAGTGAATCATGCCTCAATAAGAATAAATTGCATTTCCAAGTTTCATAGGAAAAATTGGCTCCCACTAATTCTGCTCTCCTGGGAACTGTCACACTCCCTGATCAGGGCTACTATTCTCACCTATAAGAGAAGAAATGTGAAACGCCATCTCTTTCCTTGACTTACTCTTCACAGAAGTGAAAAATTCAGAGCGGGGAAGGACCTTAGAGTGTGCCAGCCCAACCCTTTCATTTTAGTGATGAGGAAAACGAGGCCCAGAGAGGCTCAGCTACTTAGCTGACGTTACTCAGCTAGTATATTTCAGGAATAGGATTGGAACCCAAGCCCATGGAGACAAGATGTCCCTGCAGCCTCATGACCAGGCAGGCCTTTCTGGGCCCACGGATATCTCCTTTCCAGATGCTAATTGATGCTTGCCTTGACTGGACACACCTGTTTGCAAAGAAGGCATTTCCCTCTCGGTTCTTGGGGTGGGCCTGGCCTTATGGGATCAGAGTTCTCATGACTTGTAAAGTAGCTTCTTTGAGGTCTTCGTGGTCCCTGGGTGATGAGTCCTCTTGGTTCAGCTTCCTTCCCCTTCTTTATTCAAGTGCATTCAAGGCTTCCAAGTTCCTCTGAATCCCTCCTATTTGTTTCTGGTAGTGCAATAATATTCCTTCCTATTTATAATTGGTTTGGCCATCCCCCAGCAAGTGGGCGTCCACTTGGGTGGAAGCTTTTGTTTGTATGAGCTCTTTTCCTCTCTCTTTCTTTTCTGTCTTCTCCTGTCACCGAGGATGAGCCTAGTGGTGGTGAGCCTAGTGGTGGTAACCCTGGGTCAAAGGATACACCCAGTTTAGGGACTGGTCTTTGAGAAGTTTAATAGATGCTTTTTCATTCATTCACTCAGAATGGTTGGGTCCTGTACAGAGCTCTTTGGGGAAGTCACAACTAGAATCTCCTGCCCAAGAAAACGGAATTCATCGGCTGGCTTCTGGCAATCTGGCAGAGGACCGGGGCTAGTGACTGTGTGTGTGGCCGGCCATGCCAGTCTTGTGCTTTTCCCTGAACCTGACCTTGCATCTCTTCCTCCTGTCCGGCCCCACGTCTGTGGTGCGCCCCCTCCTTGCTTCTGGGTCTCCCAGGATCCATGAAATATTAACAGACCTGAAGGAAGGCCTAGAGAGAGCCGGGAAAAGAAGGGCAAAGAAGGAGAAGCCGAAGAATGAGGAGGCTGAGGTGGCATCTGATCTGCCCAGGGCCAAGGAGGGTCAACCAGCTTCCCAACAATGGGATTGGAGAGAACAGGACAACTTGCCTCTCTGGGACCAGGGGCAGAAATCCACTCACAGAGGGAAATCAATCCGAGGACCAGCCCAGGGCATGAGCATGAGCACCTCTGACCAGGGGAACTGAGCATAGGAGATGCTACGCTTGGTCTGAGTTTGTGCATCCACAGCACTTTAGAGCCCCCGGCTTTGGGGACCTAGGCAAGCCAAGGAGGTGGTTAATCGTTTTTTGCCTTTGAACCCTCCGAGATTAGCACCTAGGAGATGACTCAATCACTTCAGCACCCAAGCACCTTAAACACAACAATCTTAATTAATACGAATAACCAAATAAGGACTGAAACTCCAAAAAGACCCTAACATCTAAACCATTTGCTGTTCCAATAATGTCTTTAGCTTTGTGATTTTTTTGTATCGTTTCTAGGGGTATGTGGGTTGTTTGTCTCATTCTTCCCTCCGAAGGGCATCTATTTTCTCTATCGGGTTATTTATCTATCCAATCATTTATTTTGTAAATTCATTTGAAAAAGTTGTGAGTTCCAATTCTCTCCGTCCTTCGAGCCCCTCCTCCACCAGCAACAGGATGCAGTTATCAGTGTGACGTGGTCTGCATGTCTTGGTGACCACCCTGTCCTTTTTCTTTTGGGTTTTTTTTGCTTTATGGTGAGGCGATAGGGGTTAGGTGACTTGCCCAGGGTCACACAGCTAGTAAGTGTTGAGTGTCTGAGGCTGGATTTGAACTCAGGTCCCCCTGACTCCAAGGCCAGAGCTCTATTCACTGCGCCACCTAGCTGCCCCCATCCTGTCCTTTTTAAGGCCCATTTAGACATTTAAGGACGTTTAGAAAAGGAAGGCATGATCCCAAAGGGCTTCAGCAATAACAGGTCAGAGGACCAAGAACAGGTCGAGCTTCCTTCCCCTCCCTGCCCCACTCCTGTTACAGATGAGGAAACCGAGGCCCAGGGAGGCCGTGACACGAGGGTCTAGGAACTCAAGGTGAGAAAAGCACGTGTCAAGATGTCTAGTGCAATTCTTGTGCAAAAGGTCCGTAGGTGTGAATGGCAGGATGGAAACACTGAACCTGGGGGGGGGGCGAGGGAGGGGACAAGTCTGAAATCTGGGCGCAGGACGGGGCAGCGCCGGCTGGCACCCCCTGCAGATGCATCGGAGGCCGGGCTTCCAGGGCACTCGGCCCTGGCACAGCACCGTCTTCGCGGGCCGGGTTCAGCTGAGCTCCACGCTTTAGGAAGGCCCTGGCCAGCCGGGCAGTGCCCGGAGCGGGGCAGCAGCGTGGTGGGCGGCCTGAAGGAGGGTGGCCACGGGCAGGGGGCACGTGCTGGGCTGACAGAGGAGACAGCCCCGAGATCTAGAGGGCAGCACCAGGAGCGGCGGGTGGAAGCTACAGACGGGTAGACTGAGGCTGGGGCCGGCCTGTTCATGGATGGGTCAGTCCCGCTGGCCTCCCCACCTCTGACTTTGGAGTTCTTTCAGGCCAAAGGGCGGTGTCCAGGCAAGGGGAATAGTGGGCCTGGCTCTCGTCCCAGCTTGGGCCTCAGTTTCCCAATCTGTAAAATGGGCGGCGACCTCGGTGGGAGCTGCCGGCTCTGACGCTCCGTCACCCCCGGGCGAGGGGGCGGAGGGAAGGTCCGAGGTGGAAGCCCGGGAAGCGGCCCCCATCGCGGCCCAGGGCTCTACGCCAGCCCTTGCGCCAATTGCGTAGGGAGCCCCTACCGCTGGCCCGGCCCCGCGCCGCCTTCCCCTACGCCAAGTGCGTGCGGGGGCTCCAGCGGCCGCCGGCCTCCGCTCCGTTACGCCGACAGCGAAGGGAGGCAC